CTGAGCAAACTGGGGCCCACAGAGCCCACCCTGGCTGAGGAACCTCTCCCAGGGGTGCTGATGGCTCACCTTGACAGGACAGAACACAGGGAAAATCCTCCTCCTCTTCATCTGCCAGAGGGGAGAGTGGAGGGAAACTCTCCGAGGAAACTGCCCTTGAGGACATCCCAGAGGGATCCAGCCCTGCCAAGAGCAGCAAGAACCAGGGGGTGTAAGTGTGGGGAGGGATTGGACCAGGATCAGCTCCAGAGCAGGTGAGACACACCTGAGTGTGACCCCCAGGGGACACAGGGTCTGTCCCACCTGTGTGAGTGACCCAGAGCACCACAAATCACTGTGACACAAAGGTCTGTCACCCCTGCACACTCTTAATCGGGGAAAAGCCTGATAATGTGGATAAAAGAGGAAAAGGGGAAGCAATAAGACTGATTTTGGGCCTGTGCACCAACCTGCTCACTGCTCGTTTAAAAACATCATTTAATCTCAACTAATTAGAGCAGCAGGGAAAATAAGTGTGAACTCAAAGGGCAGCAATTGCAGCTGAATACAGCTTTCCATGGAAAACCCTAAGTAATTCCAGACAACCCAAGTGCCACCCCATCACCAAAGGCATCAGCATTTTTGCTTCTCCAAAACTTGAACCAAAAGGAATTAAATCAGCAATTCGAGACCCACATTCCCAAAAGCAAAGCAAGATTCCAAGATGAGTTACAGTGCTCGACACCCACGCAGGACAAAGGGTTCCCTTCCCCAGGGGATTTGCCCACCTTCATCTTCCTCACAGTCAGGCAGCTGCAGCTGCTTTGCTTTATTCCCAGCCAGGGGTGAGGGCTCCTTGTTTTCCTGCTCTTGAGGCTGAGGGAAGGCACCAGAAGGCCCAGGTGAGGATCCAGAGTGGTTCCTGCATTTCCTGTCTCTGCCCGAGGCCACACCTGCCCCATCCAGCTGTTTTCCACCCTCTGCCTTTCTCCTTCCATCCAGCTGCTTCGCCAGGCTCTCACTCTCACTGCTGATGCTTTTCTCCAACTCATCCGAGGCGCCTTCACCGGAGGAATCCAGGAATGTCCTTCCAGGCTGGGTTCCAGTCCTTTGGGCAGGTTCCACGGTGCCAGATTTAGAGGGGACAGGCAGAGACCCCTCCTCAGGGGGCAGCTGTGCTTGGTCCTGGGGGGAATCATCCCTGCATGATCTTTTCCTTCCTTGCTGACTTTTCCCCTCCTTTGTCTTAGGGGAGACTTTACTCCCTGGTTTGGGTTGGATTTTCCTCTGTCTCGGCGATGATTTCGGCCGTGGTACTTTGCAGTTGTGACTGGCAGGGGCTGGGGCATCCCTCACCTCCCTGGGGCCACACCTGGAAGGGTTTATTCCAGCCCCACGGGCTTTGCCACTGTCCCCTGAAGGGAGGGAGCCTCCCAGGAGCCGTGTTCTCGGGGCACTCCTCAGGTTACAGTTCCTCTGGGGATCCCTTTTCCCCTTGGCAGCCTCGGGCTGCAGCTTTGCAGAGCGAGAGCGCCACAAAGTGCTGCGGGGGGGGGTGGCTGGGGGAGATCCCCCGCTCCTGTCTCGGGATAACTCCGCATTTGGCCCTTCTGCAGGTGCTGCCTGTCTGCCTGGGTCAGCTTGGGTGAGGATATCCAGGGCAATTTTAAGGGAACAGCGATATTGCAGCTCCTCCACAGCCTCACTCACGTTGCTCTTTTGCTCTGATGAAGAAGAATATTCAATAAATGCAATGATCTTTATTACTGTAGATATAAGACATGTTATTTCTTTAATAATATAAAGTTTACATATAGAGTTCCTTTTGTTTAAGGTGCAATTTCTAACACTGGAATCATCCATGATTCTTGAGGCAAAGGACAGAGACACACAAAGACCAAGCCTCCAGTGCCTCATTTGAGGGAAATGCACATTTCTTCATCATTCCCACCAAAAAACTGCCACAGGGAAGAGGAAAATGATCACGTTTAACCTATTTTCCAATCTTATGGATGGAAAAGGAGGAAAGAAACGTGAAAAGAAGCTCCTCAAAACTACATAAGTGAAATACAGAGCTATTCTCCCCCAGGTTGAGTTTCTGTGTCTGTTTTACACTAGGAATAGAGGCAAAGCAGCACATTTTGGCCCCTGCTCACCCAGGTTGGAGGCAATGGCCTTGATCCGCTCCTCTGTCAGTGGAACAGCGTTTGCAGAGCTCACACTGACCCTGAAACACAACAGAGCTCACTGGAACCAGCACAGAGAACACCCCCAACACAACAACTCTGCTCTCAGCCACCAATAAACCCAACATACTCGTCCCCCCAGACCTGTCCTTGGGAGGGTTAAACACCTAAACCCTCTGTAAATCCACCATCCCACCTCACAGGAATCCTCAGGTGAAGGGATTCCTTTTTTCCCCCCTCTTTTTTTAACATCTTAGAATGCAAACGTGTGGCAGGAACAAGGATACTCAACTGCTTCTCCAAGCCCAGTATTTCAGCTTTAAATCCCATCTTCGTCGTGGTGCCGACATGAGTGCTCCCAGCAACTCCAGCTTTGCACAAAACCTACACAAAAATACTCATTTAAAATCCTAGTCCGACAGATCTGACATCAAAACATTTTTATAGGAACAGCCTGATAGTCCTTGGCAGCTGGCTGCAGCCTTAGGATCCTGGAATGGTTTGGGTTGGAAGGGACCTTCAAGCCCATCCAGTGCCACCCCCTGCCATGGGCAGGGACACCTCCCACTATCCCAGATTGCTCCAGGCCCCGTCCAATCTGGCCCTGGACACTTCCCAGTGTAAAACTGGGCAAGTACAAACACGTCCACTGGGAGCTTTCACTCCTTCTCTGCTCCACCTCATCCCGTCCCAAGTGCTATCCACAAACACTCCCTCGTTACCTTGGCTGGCCACAAACGCCTCTTCCACTTGCAGAGAACAAACTCTGGGTCGGCCATGGCTGAAAAAGGGCAGTTCCAGTGTCCTCTGAGGAAAAAAGGGAATAAAGGAGTCACCTGCCTTAGTCCACTTTTGTCTTTATCTTTCTAAAGAAACACAGGACTTAATCAAACACATTATTAAAGTTATTATTGTTTTAGCTTTGGGATCACTGCAGTGATGTTACCCCGCACCATTCTTCAAAACCGTATTTTTAAACTCCATTTCTCTGTAGGTCGCCCAGAGAAGCTGTGGCTGCTCCATCCCTGGAAGTGTCCAAGGCCAGCCTGGAGCAGCCAGGTCTAGAGGAAGGTGTCCCTGCCCACGGCAGTGGAACTGGATGGGCATTTAAGTCCCCTCCGACCCAAACCATTCCAAGATTCAATAATTCCATCATTCCAGGAACACGAGTGGGTCTCACCGGGTGAGGACGACGCTGTCACAAATTAACCAAGGCAACCGTGGGCCTGCCCAACCCACACCTCCCCGCGACCAAACCCTGAAAACAGCGATTCACACCCGAAAACTAGGCATTAACACCCTAAAAACGACTTGCTAGACCGACTTTTCTATCTAGCTCGGGGCCGATTTTCACGCGTGATTCGCGGCGATAACGCGAGCGAAGGGGCCGCGGAGCCCTCGGGGGCTTCAGGAAAGCCCCGCTAAGGACGAGGAAGCCCCGCCGTACTCACCAGGCCGAGTCCCGGGGGCCGCGGGCTCCGGGGAGGGAGGGAGGGCCGTTAACACCGCCCGGAACGGGACCCACCGGCCCCGCCCGACCCCCCAAACCGCCCCCGGACACCCCCGGGGAGGGACCCCAGAACCGCCCGGGCAGGGAAGGAACCCCCACCCCACACCCGGGGAGGGGAAGGACGAGACGCCTCCCCAAACCCCGATGAGGGGAGGGTCGGGACCCCCCCAAAACCCGGGGAGGGACCTCTCAACTCCCCCGGTGAGGGGAGGGACGAAATTCCCCCCCCAAAAAAAAACCGGGGAGGGGAGGGACGGGAACTCCCGATCCGTCGGTGAGGGGAGAGGAGGGTCGGGACCCCCCAGCCCCTGCGAGGGGAAGGACGGGCTGCCCGCTCGCCCCGCTGCCCGCTGAGGGGAGGGTCGCGACCCCCTCGTTCTCCCTGCTGGGAGAAGGGACGGGACCGCCAAATTCCCCCTGCCCGCCGTCCCGGTGAGCGGAGGGACCCCCAATCCCCCCTCGCCCCCTCAGAGCGGAGGGACCCTCAATCCCCCCTCACCCCCTCAGAACGGACGGACCCCAGCCCCCCCTCACCCCCTCAGAACGGACGGACCCCAGCCCCCCCTCACCCCCTCAGAACGGACGGACCCCAGCCCCCCCCTCACCCCCTCAGAACGGACGGACCCCCAGCCCCCCCCCCCCCCACCCCCAGCCCCGGACCCCCCCCCCCCCTCACCCCCTCAGAGCGGACGGACCCCCAGCCCCCCCCTCACCCCCAGGTCCCCTCGGCCCGCGGCGGGGCGGGGGGGGCGGGGTCGTTACCGTGCGCGCTCCCGACACTGCCGCGCGCGCCGCCCGCCACATGAGGCACCGCGCATGCGCCGCCCGTCCGCCCCTCCCCTGGTCCCGCCCCTGGCCTCACGTCGACCAATCAGCGAGCGCCGCCTGTCGCGCCGGCCCCGCCCCTCTCCTTCCCCGCCGCCGCCAAAACACGGTGCGCCGCAGCCAATGGGAGCGAGTGCTGCGTCGCTCGCCCCGCCTGCCCTCGCCTCCTATTGGAGAGTTCGCGGCAGGCCCCGCCCACTCCGAGGGGGAGGGCGGGCGGTGCTGCGGCACGGGAGTGGACCGGTGACGTCATTGCCATGTGTGACGTCATCGAGTCCCGGCCTGGGAGCGGTTCGGGCTCGAAGGGACTTGGGAGCTCCTCCAGCCCGGAGAGTGCCCAAGGCCAGGCGGGACGGGGCTTGGAGCAACCCGGTCCATGGGAGGTGTCCCTGCCCGCGGGACCCGGCCATCCTTAAAGCCCCTTCCCACCCAAACCACCCCGTGGCAGTTTTTAGCCCTGTTTTTTCCCGAGGGTAGCAGTCAAAAGGCAGCCCACGCTCTGATGTTTGATACTTTATTGGCTGTCTCTACTTCGTTATGAACACCTCGATACCAGAACTGTCACCACTACACTGGAGCAGTTACTCAAACACACTCTGCAAACAGCAACAGACCCAAATGCACCTCCGCGGGCTTCACTCCCAGGAGCACATTTTTCCTACCTTCAAGTACGGATACCTGTGGAGTAGTTGTTAATATAAGAGGCAAACTCCTGGTTTTGCTCCCAGCTTCCTCCCCCCACCCCATACTTTCCACCACTGGAGACGCTTTGTGTAATTTATTTTTTTGTTACCTCACTGAAACCTCAATTCCCACTTTTCTGCGGGATTGGGAATGTTCAGCAATGTCACTCAGCCATTCCCAGCACCAGTCCCTGCTTCCCAGGCTCTGGGGGTGCTGAGCACTCCAACCTGGTCCTGCAAGGTGCTTTAATCAGTATTTCATGTCAAAGGATATAAAACAGTCTTTAAAACGTGGGTTAATAAACAACAAGGTTCAAGGTGGGGTTCCGGTCCCGCTGGAGCACACGGAGACAACACGGAGCTGGAAGGACACACCAAGGGTGGGACAGAGACTGGAGATGAGAACACACTGCAAAGGTCAGCCCTCGGTATTAGAAAAAGGAGAGAAAAAACTTGCCCCTGCTGCAAAATGCAAAGAAAAAGGGATAATTTCCTGGTGCTGCAGCATCCCACGGGCTCAGCGTCCACGTCCTCCCCCGTGACATCCCACACAGGGACAGCTCAGTTAAAAAAAGTCCAGTTCTGCTCAAGACATGATATTTTTCCAAGTAAAACCCCCCTTGAACATCCTATTTCTCCTCTGTACTTGGCCTTACAAGCTCCCTAAACATCACTGAGCTCCACACGGCGGATCAGCCCTTCCACGGAGCCCTTTTGATTTCTGCTTGTGCTGCAAACAAACACAAAATCCTTGTGCCACGTTTTCCTCCCGTGCTCTGATGCCCCTGCTGACCCTGCTCTGTCACCCCTGGGCCCGTCACCGCGGCTTCAGCTTCGGCAAAACACCCATTTTGGGGGGTTTTTGCCCCTCCTGTACCAGCTGTTCAGTTCTGCACCCCTGTCCTGGGGGACTGAACCCCCTGTACACACCGACCCTCCTCCAGGGGAGGTTTTGCCCTGAACACACTGCTACAAACCCAGGCTGTGGGGGTGCAGGCCATGGACTGCCTCAGGGATCAAACCCTGCTGGACCCCCCAGCTGGGGCTGTGCAGCCCCCAGCTCTCCGTGATTCCCAGGTGGAATATGGCTTTTCCTGTCTGGTCACTTGTTCTGTGTTAAAATCTGCAAATGCTTGTCCTGTGGCTAGAAAATTTCAAGAGATTTGTCCCCTGATTTCATTAAAAAACAAACAAACAACCCAAGTAGTTGTAAACTCCCTCCTCCCTCAGGGCACAGCAGTTACAGTTGTCCCACAGAGCGCCCTGGACAGGGTTGCCTTGTTCTTCCTTAAAACTGTTGTGTAAATGCTGACCTGGAGTGCCAAGGAGAGGCCAGGCCAGCATTCCCAGTTCCATGACAACCCCACCACCACGAATCCACAGCAAGACGAGGTGGGAACGCACAAAACCAGGTGGAAGAAAAACAAATTGGAGGTCAGCCGCCAACCAGGGATGGCAAGGGAACCACTGGCACACACTTTTCTCCAGAGAGGATCAAAAATCTGGGTTCAGAGGCTCCTAAAACCTCGTCTAATGCAGCAGCAAACCCACAGCTGGGCCTGGTGACAGCACTGGAGACATCACAGCGAGGGGCAGCAATAACCTAAAGAAATAAAACCTTCCAGGACTATTTACAGGAAAGTACAAACCCCTCAAAGACAACCCACTGCCTCTGGAGGGGAGGGGAGAGAAATCCTTTGTGCTGCTCTTTGCTCCTCGTTTTTAAGCCACTTGGGACCTTTCCCAGCCCCAGAGGCCCCGGGAAGAGGAGTCACATCCCGGGAGTCACATCCCGGGAGTCACATCCCAGGAGTCACATCCCAGCCCTGCCCGGTCCCCCGAGCCGGGTGGGCACAGACATACAGGGACAGGACGGGGAGGACTCACTGGAACAGGACACGAAAGAAGGACGTCCCACAGCCCAGACCAGGGGCTCGGGGCTCCCCCCGAGGCTCGGCGGGTGTTGGTGGTCGAAGGTGACCCCGTTAGCTCTGGCAGCCGGCGCCGGGCAGGGGCACGGGGGGCACGGCGGGGCGGTCGCTCTGGAACACGCCGAGGTCCTCGCCGGCCGTGGGGGCTCCGGGGCCGGTGGTCCCCGAGCCCTGGGGTGGGCGGGGGCCCCGGGGACCCCCCTGGCTGCGCCCGCCGCGGGAGCAGTCGTGGTGCCCGTGGTTGCCCAGGCGGCTGGAGGCCACCACGGCCTTCATGGCAGCCTGTGGCAAAGGCACGGGGGCACGGGGTCACAGAACTGCAGAGTCACAGAGTCACAGAACACCCTGAGCTGGGAGGGACCCACAAGGACCATCCACGTCCAGCCCCCAGCCCTGCCCAGGACACCCCAACAATCCCACCCTGTCCCCCAGAGCGTTGTCCAAACACTCCTGGAGCTCTGGCAGCCTTGGGGCCGTGCCCACTGCCCTGGGGAGCCCGGGCAGCGCCCCAGCACCCTCTGGGGGAAGGAGCTTTTCCAGATGTCCATCCCAACCCCCCATATGCAGCCCCAGCCGTTCCTTTGGGCACTGAGTGGTCGTTGGCGGGTGCTTGGCAGAATCCTCCCCTTCAAGGCCACTCTCAAAGCCACTGTCAAACCCCCAGCAGTGGAGGGGGAGGTGGCAGCCCAGCCCTTCCCCTCTGGCCGTGCTTTTCCCTGCAGCAGCTCCACCATCCTTCCCCACCTTCCACACCGGCCCCCTGCACTGTCACACGTCGCTCTGCCTGGGGTGGGGGGGTCCACGACCCCAGTGAAACGGCCCTGGTTGGCCCCAGCCCTTTGCCCGAGGGCACACGACCATGCCCAGGGGGTCGGGTGCCCCCCCCTCACCTTTAGTTTCCTCCTGGCGTTGAATTCCTGCAGCTTCTTCTGCGTGCTGTCCATGTGAGCAAACTTAGCAGCCTTCCCGGTGACCCAGGGGTGCTCCAGGGCCTGCGAGACCGTCAGCCTCTTCTGGGGGTCCAAAACGATCAGTTTTCTGACCTGGGAGCGACGAAAACGCCCCGGGTTTGGTTATTTCCCGGGCGCTGAGCCGAAGCCTTGCCCCCGAGCCCCCCGAGGCCGCCCCCCTCACCAGGTCCTTGGCGTTGGGGGACACCTCGTCCCACCACGGGGACACGAACTCGTAGTCGCAGGTGAGGATGCGGCTGTACATGTACTGGTCCCCCCGCGGGTCGAAGAAGGGCTCGAAGCCGCAGAGCCTGGTGGGGAGGGGGGTGAGAGGAGCTGCACCCACCGAGCCCCCGCGGTGGGATGGGGGGGCACAAACCCTCCCGGCCCCGGTTCCACCCCCCAGAGGCACTCACAGGATGTAGGTGATGACGCCCACGCTCCACATGTCCACTTCAGGGCCGTAGGGGCACCCGTGGAGGATTTCGGGGGCTGGAAGCAGAGTTTGGGGGCTCAAACACACCCCGCCTGGCACGGTGGGAGCCTCACGGCAGAGGAAACGCCTCCTGGGCACCGGCAGTGTCTCCCAGGCCTGGCACAGCCACCAGCCACCCCTGCACCGAGCTGTGCACGGCCTCAGGCAGGGAAGGGCCCCCCAGATCCCCCCCCAGCCCAGCCCCACCCCGCTCACCGCAGTACCCCGGCGTCCCGCAGACCGTTTTCATGGTGTCCTGCTCGTCCACGATCTTGGAGAGCCCGAAGTCACCTTGGAGGGACACAGGGGAGCGGCGCTGCCATCAGGGAGGGGCACCAGGAACGCCCCCCTCGTGCCACGACCCCCCGGCGGGGCCCCAGACCCACCGATTTTGAGGGGCGCGTCGGGGGACAGGTCTGCGTAGAGCAGGTTCTCCGGCTTCAGGTCCCGGTGGACGACCCCGTTTTCGTGCAAATACTGCACAGAGGGAAAAAGTGGGATGAGGGAAGGAAGGGAACGGCCTCAGACAGAATTTGGGAGGTGGCAGCAGCAACTGGGGACCTGTAACAAACCCGGGACTGACTCGCCCGGCGGGTCCTTTGGGAACAGCCCTCATGGCAGGGCATGGGGGGCTCTGGGGAGGACATTGCCAGTTAGGAGTTCCCATTTTTAAACCCTCCTGTTTCCATAGAAACCCCACCTCCAGCAGACCTGGGATGCAGAGCAGCACTGACCTTCCTCCCTCCTCCCCTGAAAGTGGATCCATCTCACAGAGGTGCCTGTGGAAGGCCAAGGGTGAGCAGACAAACGCCTCCCCCAGGGGTATTTGGGATGGGTGCAGCTCTGGGTGCCTCTCCCAAGGGATGTTTGGATGCAGCCCACACAGTGACACCCCCAAGCCCCCCGTGGGACCCCCTCCCTGGAAGACACGTTACCGAAACTGCCTCCAGGATCTGCTTGACCACGTGAGCCGCGTCCCGCTCGCTGTAGAACCCCCTCTCCACGATCCTGGGGGCACACGGGACCATCAGCCCCCTCCATCCCCATCCTGCCCCCACCATCCGGGGGGGGATCCGTCCTGGGGACCCCGGGCAGGACATACCTGTCAAAGAGCTCTCCCCCCGTCACCAGCTCCAGGACGAGCGCGATCTCCGAGGGCGTCTCGAAAATCTCCTTCAGCTTGATCTGAAAAGGGCGACAGGAGGGGGGTGGGATGTGGAGGAGGGATGTGGATGCGGGACGCACATCCCGGCTGTGCTGGGAGGAGCATTTGACCGCCAGGGGGAAAGGGTTGTTCCAGGGCAACCAGCACGTTTCCCTCCTTGCCTCTGGACTTGTTTAAACACGAATTGTTTTAAGTGTTTGCAGCAGCCCTGCTCACTTCACATGGACTGAAGATAAACCTGGGAACGGGAAGAGCCGGTGCCTTTATCCTCTTCATGTCTCCGAGCTCATTTGCCAGAGGAGGAGCTCCCTGAGAGAGGTTTGATTTCGCAGCCCCGGCTGTGCAGGGCCCCGGTGCCTCTGCCCAGCCCTGCCTCCATCCCCGGGATGAATCCTGCACATCTTTGGGGTGCAGGAGGCACAGACAGAGCCCCACGGGATGCGCTCTGGGATCAGGGCTCTGGGACTGAACTGTCCCTGGGACTGTTCTGCAGCAGAAGAGGCACCAACCAGTGTTTTCCTCCCGAGTTTTGTCTCAGCCCCCACACGGGCTGAGCCCTTTGTGCCGCCCCAGCCCATCTGGAACCGACGATTCTCTCTCTCGAAACAGCGACGTCAAAATGCAATTTTGCCTTTTCTTTTTTTTCTTTTTTTTTTTTTTTTAATGGAAACCCAAGAATTTCGTGCTTCTTAAGGCTTTTGTGACACCACGAATTTCATGGGGCTTTAATCATTCCCTTCCCAGGCTGGGTGACAAGCCGTGAGCCCCCGCGGGGTGAGAGACACTATGTGGCAGCTTATTGCATTAGAATAATACACGGAGCACTATAATTTTCCCATTAACTTCAAAAGTTTACAATCCTATTATCAGCCGCTGTCGAGGTCGGTGCCGCACGATAGCGAGAGCGGAGACGGCTCCGGCGTCAATAATGGAACAGAGCAGCTCCTCTTCAACAATCACTTGAACTTGGGATGAGCAGAACCCTACAGAAACCTCGGGGATTTAAATATTCAAAGTGGCTGGATCCTCCTCCATGGCTCCACGAGCCGCTGCCTGCAGAGGGGAGGAGGAGGGAGGGCAGAAATTGGATTTTCTGTTGTGTTTCTGATAACACATCAGAGAGGAGCCATCCACGGCTGGGATGGGCTGGGCTGCTCTGAGTGGGTGATTTCCATCCTGGCTCTTATCCCTGCCTCCGCCCTGGCACTGGGGGAACTCTCCATGGAAAAGGCTGAAGCACCAAACTGCCCCCAAACACTGTAACACCCCAAGGCAGGCCCACACCCAGCGGGCTGAGGGGCTTAGGGACATCCCAGCCCCAGCACTTCCCCCGTTATCCCTGGCTCTGGAGAGGTTGGATTTCTCTTGGCTTCATTTCTTTGCATCAAGGTTTTGGGGCCCCTCCAGAGAGTAAAGCTCCAAGGGCGGGTGACGTGGCTGGGCTGGAAAAAACTGTGCCCCGGGTTTGGGGGACGTGCAGCTTGGGCAGGAGCAGCCAGTGGAAGACAAGGTCCCAGTGACACCCCAGCAACGTCCCAGTGACACCCCAGCAGTGTCCCAGTGACACCCAGCAGTGTCCCAGTGACACCCCAGCAGTGTCCCAGTGACACCCAGCAGTGTCCCAGTGACACCCCAGCAGTGTCCCAGTGACACCCAGCAGTGTCCCAGTGACACCCAGCAGTGTCCCAGTGACACCCCAGCAGTGTCCCAGTGACACCCCAGCAACGTCCCAGTGACACCCAGCAGTGTCCCAGTGACACCCCAGCAGTGTCCCAGTGACACCCCAGCAGTGTCCCAGTGACACCCAGCAGTGTCCCAGCCGCAGTCCCAACGGGAGCAGGCCCTGTCCCACCCCGGCCCTCAGCCCCACTGCAGCTGCCAGGCAGCTTTTTGTGCCATTTCTGTAACTCAGGTGCTCTCCAAGACACTTTTGCAATTTTCCAGCAGGCTCCGCTCTGGGAATCGCTCCCATCCCGCTCCCCACCCTCCCGTTATCCCCCGGTATCCCCCGGGTGCTGAGCAAGGACAGGCAGGGGAGGGACACGGCCCCAGCCCCCCGGCCCCGGCCTCCCCTTTTATCTCCCCTCGCAGGATTCATTACAGACGGGCAATTTTCTGTGGGATTCATTTGATCTCCTCGGTGGAAATTGCTTACTGAATGGAAATCTCAGGCCAGGGGATTGGGGGGGGAGAGGAGGAGGATGGAGAGTCCTTGATATCAGAGGTGGGAGCTCAAAGGAGCTGCAAGGACCAGGAATTTTATGTGGCAGCGAGTGGGGAGTCACCTGGACCCCGTCTGAGAGGCAGGGAGGGGACAGGGGGTGCAGGGAGGGGACAGGGGGTGCAGGGAGGGGACAGGGGGTGCAGGGAGGGGACAGGGGGTGCAGGGAGGGTTTCCCATGGGGTGATGGGTTCATCCTGCCCCAAGATGGGACGAGGACAAGACATCCCAGCCCTTCCCTCAGCACTGGGCTGCCTGTGGGCAGAGTTAAGGGGAAACCAGGAGCCCTGGGCCCGACCTAAGGGAGCTGGGAGCTGTCAGGGGGGTTGTACTCACGATGTTGGGGTGGGAGAGCCGCAGCAGGACCCCGATCTCCGTCCTCACGATCTTTTTGTCGATCTAGAAAGCAGAGCCCACACAGAGGTTGTGTCACCTGTGCTGCTGGGCCTGAGTCTGGCCCCCCACCAGAGACCCCCCCTCAGCACGTTCCCATGTCAGTCCTAGGACCCGTTTCCCCAGAAAAATGCACCCAGTGCCCCCCTGCTGCACCCCCAGCCCAAACCCCAGCGGTTTTGTCCACCTGGGACCCCCCAGACCACGGGAGCCATGCCCAGTGACAGCCCCCACACTCACCGTCTTCTTCAGGATCTTGGCAGCATAGGGGGCTCCTGTTCCCTTCTCCTGGCAGCTGAACACCACCGAGGTGGCTCCCCTGGGAGGGCATGGGGGGGCATGAGGCTGGGACAGGGCAGGGGGTCCCACTCTCCCTGTGCCCCTCACCAGCACCTTTGCCAGTGCCAGGTCGTGGAAGCCCAGCGTGGATCCCCCTCTTATGGATCCCCCTCCTCCTGCATCTCCCTCCTTGTACCTCCCCATCCTCGTGCACACCCCCCCCCAATTATTCCTGCATCCCCTTCCTGCACCCCTCTCCCGCATCCCCCTCCTCCCACAGCCCCCTCCCGCATCATTCCCGGCTTCCCGGGCCAAAGCCATTGTAATTAAACCCGAGTTCTACAGGGGGTTTAAATCCTTAAGCGGCTTTCACGACAGGACGGAGCCGCCGTGGCCCGGGGACAGCAGGGACGCTGCCAGGGCCCCAGCCCGGCCGTGTCCCCCCGGCCACGACAACCCCTGTCACCACACACCTCCCGGCCGGGCTGAGCGGTGACTCGGGACCGTTCCCTTCCCACCCCCGCGGTGCCCTCAGCCGGCGGCGAGCTCAGATCGAGTTAATCACGTTTTCTGAGCGCTGGACGGTGAAATCAGCCCGTCGCTCGGGGCCATTCCGGGGCTCATTTGCAATTCCATCTCCCTGCCTGGCTCCCGGAGCACATTAATTCCTGCCCCCGAGTAATCGGCCGCGTTTTACTGCACTTTGGCTTCGGCGCCTTCTGGGACGGAGCTCAGGCTGTGCCAGGAGGTGCCCGGCACCGCCCCCTGCCCGTACCCTCGGGCTGGCAAGAACAGACACCCAAACCCACCGACTTCCACACCAAAACCTCCCCCCAGCCCAAACCTGCCCCCGGGCAGGGCTGTGCGACCTCCACCGTAACCCCCCCCCACGCTCCCGGGTGCTCTCCTGAAAGAGGGATTTGCCTTCAAACCCAGAGCAGATTTTGCAACTCATCCGGCTGAATTTGGGAATGGCGTTCCCATGGCAACGGCAGAGCCGGGTACCGAGTTCCACCGGGATGCTGCGGGGCCCGGGGGGAGCAAACCCCAGACCTGGCCTCGTTTCAAAACATTTTCGTCCCTTCGCCCAACGCTCTCCATGAAATTCTACTTTGCACACAAAGAGCGATTTGGAAGCACGTTGTTCCCTCCGGGAGGGGAGAGGCGGCCACCGCCCGCTCCAGCTCGGCAAAACGGGCAAAAGCTGCGACTTGAACCCAAAATGGCACCGCTGCTGCTGTCACCACCACGACAAGGCACTTCCAGTGGGACAGGCCAGGAGGGTTTCTCCTCATTTCCCAGCCGGGCTGGATGCAGGGCCAGGACCCTCCACCCCCTCGCCGGCAGCTGAATCCCAGCCCGGACCCGTCGCCCTCCCACCAGATTTTTCCGCACGGACAATTCCCAGCCTGATTCCCGCCGCTAACAAGATCATTTAGGAGCGCTCGGCTCGGCGTTTAGGAGGAGCCGGAGCGGCTCCTGAGCCCGCTGTGCCCGCGGCCGCCCCTCACATTTCCCCAATTACGGCCGCGGTTGGATTTGCGCCGGAATTCGCTACACCCCCGGCCCCGGCCCCGCCGCCCCCGCAGCCGCCGCTCAAGGCCTCCAATAAACATCCCCAATCAACCTTGGCTGGACAGGAGATAATTGCATTTGCTTTCCAGATGAACTGGAAAATGTTGAACAATGGGATTTGCCCGGACCGGCGGTGGGGGCACGTGCAGGGAGGGATGGCCGGGAGCAGCCCCGGGCTGGGGCCTCCCCGCTGCCACCCCATCCCTCCCCGGCTCCCTCCATCCCTCTCCTGCTCTCTGGGGCTTCCTGGCCACAGTTGGATCCAGCCTTGCCAGGAGAGGCACTAAGGGAAAGCTGTGCACGGTGAGCAGGCTCCCAATGCCCCAGATCCCACCTGGATCCGGGCGCGTGGCCGTGAGTGGGTGGCTCCAAGACTGAGACCAGTGTGATTTAAAACTGGATGGATGGATGGATGGATTGATTCCAGGAGCTCCAGGCCTGTCCCTCTGTCCTACATCCATCTCTGCAGGGCTGGGAACTGCCAAGCCCTGGGCTGCCTCGGCCACACCTCAACAAGAGCTCTTAAATTCCTGCTTTTACCAAAACTGCTGTTTGTCAGAATCCTCTGCCAAAGGCAACTCAGGGCAGCTGGGACTGGCCCAGCCTGAACCACCAAACCCACCTGCACATCCTGGAGCCCCCCCAAACAGGACCATCAACCTTCCCAGCTTCCAGGGGGGCTGCCAGCACCCCTTTGCACCCCCCACCCCGAGGAGCACTGGGACACCTCCCCCGGGATCACAATCAGTGCCCTTGGATGGGTTTCCCAACCCAGGGGGGGACAAATCCAGACCTGGGAATCCAAAGCCTGTGTCCCTTTGTGGGGGCTGGCACTGCCTGTCCTTTGCAGGGGGTGCTGCAGGCGGGACCCTCATGGCCCACCCCAGAGCCTTGGGGTGCTCAGAGGGGAGCTGGGTGTCCCCACGATCCCACTGCCCACCACGGGGGAGGAACATCCAGCTGCACAGGGACAGGGACCCCAGGCCCACCCTGCCAACCCCCTCTGACGCTCCCAGACCGCGGCTGCAGCGTCACAAACCAGGTTACATGTGAGGGGAGGGTCTGCCACAGTCCACCCCCCAATCCATCCTTCCATCCTCCCATCCCTCCCTGCATCCCTCCATCCCCCTTCATCCATCCCCCCTGAGTCCCTCCAACCCCCTCTGTATCCCTCCATCCCTCCCCACGTCCTTCCACCCCTCCCCTCACCAGGCCCACCCCTGCCCCGACCAGGACACGCTCCCATCCCGGGGGGTCTCCTGCCCCCCCCAGTCCCTCCCCGTCCCCCTCCCAGCCCGCACCGTCCCAGCTCGGGGCCCATGACGTAGAAATCTTCCAGGGCCACCTCGCGGTGGGATCCGTCGATCCAGAACTCGCTCTCGCTCTTGGAGGACGGCATGGTGGCCCGGGGGTGGCGAGCTCCCGCCAGCTGCTGGGAAGGGGAGACCCCGGCATGGCCACGGCCCCCCCGGAGCGCCCAGATGGCCCGGGGAAAACCAGCGCCCGGGATTATCGAGCGTGGAACCACGGCCACAAATCCCCTTCCCACCAGGCACGTACGCTGCCTTTTCCGAGATAATACCCCCGTCCCCCCCCCGCTGTGTCCTGTGCCCCCCCCCGGCTTTTCCCACCGCCCTCCTCCCCCTTTCCCGCCCCATCCCCACCTTCCTGGGGATCCCCGGCAGGCCGGAGGCTGCACCCAGGGGCTGGCACCTTGGGTGTTTGCACCCCGATTCCTGCAGCCACCCCTAAACCCCCCCGGCCCCCCGCCCGCCCCCGCAGCCCCGGCAATTTTGGGGTGGGGTCGGGGCCCAGCACGTACCGTTACCTGCGGCGTCGCTCGTGGCCCCCCCGGCGCTGCCTCATCCCCGGCGCGGGGCTGTGCCGAGGGTGGGCGCGGGGGGTCCTGAGCCCCCGCCCGCCCCGGGGCTGGTGCTGAGCCCGGCCGCGGCCCCCCGGCCCGTGCGGCCCCCGCTGCTCCCCAAAAGCGAGCGGTCACGGCTCAGAGCCTTGGCCGGGCTTCACGGGGCGGTGCTGGGATGGAGGGATGGAGGGATGGAGGGATGGAGGGATGGAAGGATGGAGGGATGCAGGGATGGAAGGATGGAGGGATGGAGGGATGGAAGGATGGAGGGATGCAGGGATGGAGGGATGCCGGGATGGAGGGATGCCGGGATGGAGGGATGCAGGGATGGAGGGATGCAGGGATGGAAGGATGCAGGGATGGAGGGATGCCGGGATGGAGGGATGCAGGGATGCAGGGATGGAAGGATGCAGGGATGCAGGGATGGAGGGATGCAGGGATGGAAGGATGCCGGGATGGAAGGATGCCGGGATGGAGGGATGCAGGGATGGAAGGATGCAGGGATGGAGGGATGCAGGGATGCAGGGATGCTGGGATGGAGGGATGCCGGGATGGAAGGATACAGGGATGGAGGGATGCCGGGATGCAGAACGCAGGGACGCCGGGCAGCACGGCTGCAGGGATGGGAGGATGAAGGGATGGGAGGCTGCCGAGGCGCCCGGAAGCGGGAGCGCGGGGCTGCAGGGAGAGAGGAAGGTGCTGATGGGGGGAGCACCGAGACCCTCCCGGCAGCATCACCGGCGGCCGCCGCGCTCCCGCCTGGCTCGGCCGTGCCACCCCCCGGCCCGGCGCCGCCACTGCACCCCCCCCGCCGCCCCCCGCCCCCCGGGGCTGCGGGACCCGCCCGGTGCTCGCGGGGTCCGGGCGGCCCCGACCCCCCGACCCCCGCAGCGGCAGGATCGGGCCCCGCGGCGGGGCCAGGGCGGGGGCACCGCGGCCGATCCCCGGGACCGCCCGGCACCCCCCGGCGCCGAGCCCCCCACCCTGCCCCGCACCTCGGGGAGCGCCCGCAGCCCCGCACCCGCGGGGTCAGGGCCTGTCCCCCCGAGCCCCCGGAGCCCCCGGGACAGGGGGGCGCGTCCTGCCGGGGGGCGCGGGCGCTGCCCACAGCCGCCGCACGGTGACGCCGTCGCCCACCGGATGGGGACGGGGGTGGGAGGGGACCGGGAGGGGCTGGGATTGGGATTGGGGCGGGATTGGGTTACGGGGATGGAATGGCAACGGGCTGGGAAGGGTGGGAATGGGACTGGGAATGGTAGAGCTGGGGTGGGACTAGGATTAGAGATGGGGTGGGCTGGGGCCAGGAACAGGATGGGAATGGACATGGGGTTGAGGAGAGAGGTGGGATGAGGCCAGGGATGGGGTGACACTGGGTATTGGACTGCACTGGGACTGTGGATGGGTTTGGGATGGGGCCAGGGATGGGAAGGGAGTGGGGATGGGATGGGAATGGGGTTGCAATGGGTCCAGGAATGGGGTGGGAGTGGGGATAGGGCTGGGGTGCAGTGATAGCCATGTCCTGTGAGCTGCTGTGGTTCCTCAGCAAAGGGAGGAGGAAATTCCTCCTGAACGTCCAATTTTTATGTTTTCTTACTAAAAATTGGAAACAGGGAGAGCACCCCATGGGGCACTGACCCTCTGATGGGGCTGAGGGGCAGTGAGAGACCCCCACTAAAAATGCTGCTGCAAAGGTCTCGATGGCACAAAACATTGTTCTCATCATGGACTTCCCGAGTATTTATTAGAATATTTTATCATATCTGAGGGAGGCAAACTCAGCCCTGCTTGATCTCCTCCAGTTGCAACTCCCTTTTGAAAGGGATGTTCGTACAGGGAGTGACCTGCTCCATGAATAAATTGACTCTGCCTCCATTTCTCCCCCGTCCTGGAATGTTGTGGAGACAAGGGTGGGCTGGAAAAGGCTGGTTTGCATAATTAATATTTATCACTTGATCCCAAACAAGCACAATCCCCCCCGTTCATCCCTGGCCCCAAAAGAGTGGTGGTGGGAGTGGTTGGAAGCACAGAGGAAGCCCCTTCCTTTTGGAAACCCCTTCCTTTTGGAAACCCCACAGTTCAGGTCTTAGCGAGAGGTACAACCCCCCCCCCGGCCCCCACAGACACCCCTGGGTGGGCACTGGGTGGGGTGTGGGGCTGGATCCAGCCTGGGCAGAGGGAGATTGGGATGGGGCAGCCCCGGTCCCGGGCACACCCCAGCACCCCAAAATCCCCAAGAGGAGGGGACTGCCCTCTGCAGCACCCTGTCCCCAGCTGGGACACATTCTCGGGGTGCAGATCCAGCCCCTGGGCTGCTCCTCCGTGATCCAGCCCCGGCTCCAGGAACTGTCCCATCCTCCACCGGCTCAGTGGGACGATGGGGCTGGATTTGAGCCTCCAGCCTTTTGTCTGCGGGAGAGGAATTAATTATTTTGTTCTCTCATTACGCTGGGCTAAAACCCATTTCAGAGCAGCATAAATTTAGGTGCCTGAAGTCGCTATTTTAACATCCCGGGAAACGTTTCATTCCCTCTGTCGCCCTTTCCCAATCATTTCTGTCTCATTGGCGGCCATCGACGTTCCGGATGAAGCACAAGATGGAGGGACATTAACAAATACGGCGACAGGGCCCTTCCCTGGCTGGAGAACGGGATGGCGAGGCCGGGGCAGGGACCCCCACGGTCCCCCCCGAGCCCCCAAACCACCAGCGCCGAGCTGGGTGTCCCCAGGAAATCCCAGTGCGGGCAGAGCGGAGTCTGGGAACGGCCCCGCCAGGGACCGGCTGTTTCCGTGTGCTGCTCAATTGTTTGGAACATAAAATGGAAATTAATACACGGGGTGAACCCCCTCCAGCATCCCCCCCCCCCGTCCCAGCGCCGCTCGCCTCGTTAATTGAACGGCGCGAAGCAAATGAGGTCAGAGCTCACTTCAGCCAGACAAGGACACGGGAACACGCGCGGCTGCCGGCGAGGCTGGGCTGTACCTGCCCGTGTTTAGCATTCCTGCCGGGATCCGCTCATTAAAAACCTAAAAGGCGGCTTAAGCATCCCATTAGAGCCTCTCCGGGCTCTGGATCCTTCCCTCGCAGACGTGTTTGCAGGGAGAGCGGGACCGGAGCGGGGCGGTGGGAGGGAGCAGGGAGGGGGGTTGCACCTGCCGTGGGGTCACATCCTGCCCCATCGCCAGCCCGGGGGGTTGGGGGGTCCTCTGGGGGTCCCTCGTGCTCCCAGAGCCAGAGGGTAGGAAGGCAGGAGAGCTGCTGGAGGCTGGGATGCTGTTGGAGCAGAGCAAACTCCATGTCTGGGACGTGCTCCCGCTGCTGGGGATGCCCAGGGCCCCCTGCCCATCATCTCCCACTTTCCAAGGAGATCCCCTGGGCTGGGTTTGGGAGCAGCCCCCACACTGTGCCTCAGTTTCCCCAGCTCTGGCAGGGCAGCACAGCCCCTCTGCACCAGGCCAGGAGTGCTGACCCCCCTGGTTCTGGGCATCCCTGGGGATGTTCCCAGCTCCGTCTCTTGGTGCTCCAGCTGAGCCCCACCAGCAGCAGCCGGTGACCCGTCCATGGATCACCAGGATTCTGGGAAGAGGTGGCACAGGAGGATCCCTGTGGGACTCAGATGGTCCCAGTCTCCCCTCACCGAGGAGAACTCAAGGGGCTCTGTGCCAGGGCTGTGGGCACTGACCCCAGGGACACCCTGACCCCAGGGACACCCTGACCCCTGGGACACCCTGACCCCGGGACACACTGACCCCTGGGACACCCTGACCCCTGGGACACCCTGACCCCAGGACACACCAATCCCCCAGGACACACCAATCCCCCAGGACACACCAGTCCCCCAGGACACACCATCCCTGTGGCACTGGCTGCTCTCACCTCTCGGTGCTGCAGCCGAGGTGCTGGAGGGGGACCCTGTTCCGATGTCCCCCCCAGCAGGACCCCAGCAGATGGGGGCACTCAGGCCCACCTTGAGACAACTCGATGCCCCGGCCGTGAGCACCCACATTTCCAGGCCTCGCTCAGGTGGGATCACCTTGTGCTGCTGCCTCAGGGCTTTGGCTCCAGGAACCAACCCAGAGCCCACCCAGCATCTCCCCTCTCCTGGAGGAAGCTCAGGCATCCAGCATTCCCTCTTTCCCAGCGTCTCCCTGCGTCCTCCTCTGCTTCCTCCCTCTTCCCTTTCTCCCTCTCTTCCCTATTTTTTTTTTTTTTTTCCAGGCAAGAAATGAGTTGTCTTCCCGCAGATGTGACTAAAAGCACTCTGGAAATGTCAGCCACTGCTGGAAAGGGACCCAGATAACATTTAGCTTTAGGTAAGAGAGTAGATTTTCTCTGCACTAATTCATATTTATAAGCTCTCGTGTTCCCGGGGAGAGCGCGGCGCTGATGGCACTCGCTGATTGCCAGCGCGCGGAGCAGGGAATTGTTTTCATATCCGAGATTAAAGAGTGGTTTCTGCTCCCAGTGGCACCTGTGTATTTACACTGGTCATTCTCAATTCATTCTTATAAGATTAAGACTGGAAATGGGAAATGGTTATACAGTGCCCAGCCTGGAGGGGCGGGGGGGGGCCGGGGCAGAGCCCGGACCCTGCGCCGGGAACGGCCCGATCCGAGCGGGGGGAACGGGGGCTCTGCTCCCCTCCGGGGGCTCCCACTGGGAAAACTTCATCCAGGTGGGAAAACTTCATCCAGGTGGAAACTCCTCATCCAGATCCTGTGGGATGGTCCCTCTGCATGACCTGGGTGGGGATGGGTGGGGATGAATAGGGATGGATGAGAGGGATGGGTGGGGATGGATGGGAATGGGTGGGGATGGATGAGAGGGATGGGGATGGGTGAGGATGAATAGAGATGGATGGGGATGGGTGGGGATGGGTGGGAATGGGTGGGGATGGATGAGAGGGATGGGGATGGGTGAGGATGAATAGAGATGGATGGGGATGGGTGGGGATGGATGGGAATGGGTGGGAATGGGTGAGGATGAATAGAGATGGATGGGGATGGGTGGGGATGGATGGGTGGGGATGGATGGGAATGGGTGGGAATGGGTGGGGATGAATAGAGATGGATGGGGATGGGTGGGGATGGATGGGAATGGGTGGGGATGAATAGAGATGGATGGGGATGGGTGGCCAGAGCAGCGTGGGCAGCAGGATGGACACAAGCACATGATAGATCAGCTAAAAGCTTTATTTCTATTAAGATTAGGTAAAAGATTTATTTCTATTAAGTTCAGG